GGTACTACATTTCATGCCTTATGTTTTGTCCCTTTAAAACCATCCTTGTCTACCAATGTCTCTCTCCAACTGCATTGCCTTTGTCTGCTTTCCTCTTGGAGTTTCTGCTTTGGAAAATCATTTTCTTTCTAAAGTATATATTACTAACTTATTAAAAAATGCACACTAATTCTTACTTTTAATTTTTTTTAAATTACATACAGCTTAATATTTTTTCAACCATTTAAGTCAAAACAAAGAGTTCTATATCGTGTCATTAACAAAGATATTTCTATTTTATCTTAATACTTATATTTTAAATTAGAAAGTTAAAGAAGGATCTAATAAAATTGTGAATGAGTTATAATATCATATATTATTAATGATAGATTGAAAATTAAAATTTTAAAATAAATTAAGTTTATGTGAATGTCGATATTTTATATGTATGTGGAAGCTTTTGTGACACCGAAAAGGCATTGCTGATTGTAGGAAACAGTTGTAGGTTTGTTTTGTTCGGCAGTCGAGTGATCGGTGTTGTATGATATATCCTTTCGTATCCGTATGTCACTACTGTTTCTATGACAAGTACATACGTACGTGCAGGATGTGATTTTCAAACTCCATAATTTCACACAAAAGAAAGTAACAAATAAAATATAGGAAGTGGTTGATCAAGTCCAAGTGGTTGATTTGTAGAATCTCTTTTCATAAAGGGATGAATAGACGGAAGAGCTTTTGAATTTAAAATGTATAACATATAGATATATTAGGTTAAAAAATAAAATAAAAAATTATTTTTTTATAGTGTAACCTAAAATCAAAAGAAGACATAACAAGTTTTAACTTGTTTTATTTCCATTTAAGTTTACTTGTATAAGATAAAGAGAATTCAATTTACTATTTATGAAAATTAAGTATATGAGTTTTAACACAAAATTTATAATCAATTTAAAATTAATTAATAATAAATAAAATAATTCTCCTTATATTTAAATCACATATATTTTTCTTATTATTCCAACATGATATTTAAAACACTATTTACATGCAAATTTAGTACAAAACGCAAATTTAGTATGAACGTGAGGCCCCATCACATAACTTACCATGCTCTTACATGCAGGCTCAGTACAATTCACTTCAATCCAAACAGGGAAAATACTGTTTTTAGAGAATATTTCAATCCTAACCTTGGAAGATGTTTTGTAATTATGAGAAATTCAATTCTAACATTTCTCTACTTAGATAAGTTTTTAAATTAAAGAGGGTACACGATGCATATTCAGCTACATGTGGGTATATTCCTTAAGTGAGTAAAGAAATAGAAGAGTGCTAATTACGGGACAGGAATGGCAAGAAAATGATGGTTTCTTTCTTCTACTTTTACTATTATTATAATTTTTTGGACAGTCAGCATATTTATGAATCAGTTATATCTACTTTAAATTTTTTCTTAAATAATTTTAGAAGCACACCTAATATATTAACTTGATTCTAAGACTCGAATTTTAAATTTACCCATAAATCAATATTTATTTATAAATAGATTTAACTATTATATTATTACCTCCATATTTTATTAAAGAGATATAAGTGGTATCTTAGCCCATTCCGTCCATATTCTTAAACAACCATCCTCAAAAAGTTTTAGCTATTAGTCCTTCCAAAACAAAGATAAAGAAACTTAACTGGATCACTTAAAGAAAATGCCAAGCCGATTGTTTACTGTCCCTCAAACAAACTTTTCTCATTCCACTGACCCCCTCTAAAAACAAAATTATTTCGTGCAATCCAAATAGCCATACCATGCAAAAGATAAGGCCATAAAGGAGCCCACGTCCAATTTGCTTTTACTAAAAGAATATCCTTTTTAGAGCATACATTAACTTATATTGGTATAAATTTTAAAAATACTTATACTAATTTTTCCACGTATTTTAAAAATAAAAGGATTATTTTGAAAATTAAAGTAGTGCATTAATTTTTTTTTCTTGTCAATAAATATTGCATTAATTGTTGAAATTTTGAAATGATGATTGAGAATTGGTTTAACTTATAAAATGTACCTCGTTTGAAATTTAAGGGACAGATAGGTAAATTCATAACTGATTTTTCTTTTTGGAGGAAAAAAAATTATGGGAATGGGTAAGGAGAGATTGGAGAGATTGGAATGACAGAAGAAACGAGGTAAGTAGTAAGAGTGCAATGAATAAAATCTCCTTGTGAAGAATCATTGATTATTTACTCTTTCAGGAAAAAGATTTGACATGATGAAATACGCAGTCAGATTTCATGAACACTGCAACTAGCATGCCAATGGAATGTCAATCCAGAATCCATCCATTGAACATTGCAACAGTACCCACAAACTTAATTCACCAGCAATTTTTAACTTTTAAGGAATAGAAAGCAAAAAGGAAAATGTTAAAATAAAAATAAGGAGAGAAATGCTAATCCAACTACGTCTGAGTTTTGTAACAAGGAATTTGGACGGTAGTTAGGGATAATATTGTGACTCAAGGGAATCCAAAGTGCAAATCCCCATATCACCATCTCAAATATCAAAATATTTGCGGGTTCAATTCAATTTAAATTAAATTTTCATCGAAATAAAATGAAACTATATAAATATTGTAACAATTAATGAATTTGTTCAATGATTAAAGGTAATGTTGTGACTTAAAAGAATCATTCAATCTAGATTGATTCAGAATGAACATACCGGGTTTAAGTTTTTAAGTGAAATCATATAATAAATTTTACGAAGGTTGTAGCGAATGAAAAAAGAAATTCTAAATATGAGGATAAATGCACTTGAGCCTTTTAGCGACAAGAGATTGGTGGTGTCAAAGCAAGAAGTATTTAAATCGCTACCAATAAATTAATCCCAATAAATTCAGGTTTGGCTATACTGTCTGCACAAAAATTGCTAAACAGGATAGACAGTGACAGTTGCTCCCAATCCCTCCCATTTATGCCTCTCCCGTTTATGAGTAATGCACATGCTCTTATTTCAGAACATGTCCTGTTCCAACCTTACACCATTTTTTCCCATCCATCATTCATCCTTACCCTACCATTTCATTTCATGTCATACAAGTATCCTTTCCATTTTTCAAAAAATTTCCGCTGAAAACCAAAATGTTTCAATTCTCTTCACATGACAGGGCACCCATGCTAGGACTGGTCACAATCTGCAATAAGTGCTTCCTATCCCCACTTCCGCATTCTCCCTACACAACAAACTTTTCAATATGTTTTTTGATTTGTTCCTGGTGAAGTTGAAGTAGAATCATGTATGATGTATGGAGTTGTTTCGAAGATTGGATTGGATTACAGGGGAGAGGGAGAAAGAGAAACTTATATACAAAATATGTCTCTGGTGAAAGTACAATATGTGACATTGTTGCACAAATGTGTGATAGAATACAAATTTCAAAGACATGGAAACAAAATGCATATGGGGGGAATACATAAGGGCAGAGGAGTTATGAGTGGAGAAAAAGAAAGAATAGCCAATTCACCAAAAGGAAGATAGACAGGAGGGTCATAGCATAGAGAGCCCATTCAGGATAATAGCAATAGAAGCTGACTTCTGAAAAGGATTTATCAGATGAGGGCCTGAGTGGGGTGATAGCCTTTCGGCTTTAGCCCAAGAAAAATCCGACCACCCACCGACAGTAATTGCCCACCTTTTGTTGCCTCAACAGCTTGAATTAACCAAGGCCCAGATGGGGCCCTGTTAAGGGTGTTGAGCCCCTGAAAATCAGGACACTGTCTTTTTTGAGTTCACCCCACCTTTTGTAAACATGCTAGCAAGGGCAAAGACCAGCTTTCATTTACCCCACTCTTGGTTGGAATGATGTGGATGCCCTGGTGGGGAATGGATGATCCACTGTGGACAATGGATGAGCCCTGTTGGGTGTCGATTGAGCCGACACCGAAAGGGACTCCTCTGGTGGCCCTTGGACTACGTAGGGTCTGGTTTTTACCTGGAAGAGCCACGGCTATGGTCAGGCTCATCACGCGTGAATTTGTTCATATGAGAGCTCCGGAGACACAGGCAAGTGCGTGTATGTACTGTTGCAGACGCATGTTTTTGTAACATGTGGGTTTCACATGACATGATTGCACAAATTTTGGGGCCTTCAGGCTATAGCACAACCAATGCAGTGATGTTATGCTTTTTCCTAATTAGGGTAGGTATAAGGGCCATAAGGCGCAGTTGATTGTCGGGGGCATAGATTTGTAAAAGTTAATAATAATATAGTTACAATATTACATAAAATTATAAATTTATAATCCTAATATGTTATAAATACATGTAATATTACAAATAAGTTTTTAAATAAAAACAATTACTCATTAGAATTATAAATTTATAATATCATATACTATTGTAACTATATTATTTATGTAGAGTTGTGCTAGATGATTGCCAATAGATGAGAACCAATTACTAAAGCACAAAACATAAATAGAATCATGAATCTAAGAAACTTGGATGTCTGAGCCGCATGTAGCGTGAATTTATCTGAGTTCTTGCGGTGGTCCATTCTACGTGGACAAGAGGACTAGGCAAAAAAGCCGAAGTCCACTGGAGCCTAAACATGGGCTCTAACCTTTACACGCTAAGACGTGGGCCGAACCATGTGGTACCGAAAAAATACTAAACTCCAGTTGAGAAGTGAGAACTAGTTCACGCGAGCTCCTAGTAGGTTTTTTTGGGTGTAGACCTACTAGTCGTTGGCACACGAGAAAAGCGTCATGTTGATTGGATTCATTTTTGCTTTACAGGCTGGATCCATACCAAGACAGATTGAATTTTGAGAGGCAAACTCCCAAACCGAAATCACTAGAATTCGCCACAAGTCCCAGCCCAATAATTCATAATTGGATCAGATTTTGAATGATCAGTTGAGGTTCATTGTTTCCAAGACCAGATTTTGCTTTCCAGCCTGCCTGCATGAGAGGCAGGCTTTTTAAATGACCAGGAAAACCAGAAAGGTATACTAAAAACTTAGCAGTAATGCGCATCCAATATCATCCTCACCTATCAGTTCAAACATATAAAATTTCATTGATAAAAGAAAAAACCCATAACAGCCATAGGTAGATCAACAAGAGAAAGCATAACATAGCAGTAACAAAGACTCCAAACATATATAACGTCAAGAAAACACTAACTACAAATTTCCACTGTCATTGACTCCTGAAAACCAAATTCTGCCGGTGTAAATTGTTGGAAATTTTCAGCAGAGGAAAATGTAGTAAAAAGCCCCTCAGCAGAAACATCCAAGCAAGCATCTACTCAAACGCATCATCATCATCATCTGGGAGAGGCTGAGCTGCTGCTGCTGCAAGTTCTTGTTCATGCCTACAAGAAAACCAAAAACACCAAATTAAACAAGAAACAAAGGCAATTTTCCATTTTGCCAAACACCCAATCAGTGAATCCCCAGATCAAGCCATGCTGCCAGAGCATAGGGGTAAAAAGGTAACAGAAATAGCGAATGTATAGCTAAAAATCTTACTGATGTTGAGCAGCCAAATCAATTTGTACTTCTGGGGGAGCAAGAGCAGGAGACTCCACAAAATGAAGGTTAGGATCTCTAAGATAACCAACAAAATAATCAGTTCCAAAGTCTGACCAGTAGAATTCATGTAAAAAGTAGTCTACACAAAAGCACGTTACATTACCCAGCAAGCTTCCTGGCGAGGTACAAGAAAGGCTTCTCAAAATTGTAGTTGCTCTTGGCAGATATCTCATAGTATTGCAGATTCTTCTTCCTGTGAAATGTAACCTGCTTTGCCTTAACCTGCCTGTTCTTCACATCAACCTTGTTACCACAAAGAACAATGGGAATATTCTCACAAACCCTACATTTTGAACAAAAAATGTCAGTATTATAATTAGCAGAATATGCAATAAAAACCAAAAACAAGGAAACAGAATAAAAGGCCTTTGAATCGAGATCCTGGAAGTTTTAAGCACACCTGCATAGATCACGATGCCATGTAGGAACATTCTTGTAAGTCAGACGAGCAGTAACATCAAACATTATAATAGCACATTGCCCGTGAATGCTGCATGACAAAAACATGAACAAATTACATAAGCAAACCCAAAGCACAAACAAAATGCATAAAGAACAAAAAGATTCACAAACCAAATGTAATAGCACAAATATTTTTAATATGAACTCCATCTACCCCTCCCCACAAACTTCTTCACTTCATCGACCATTATCGACCATTTTTTTATAATTGATAGAAGATGGCTAAGAACGGAAATGGAAGGGATTTATAGCCCTAATATCATGCCACATGCTCTCTCTATCCATGAGAGCATATACCAGTTCATAATAAGAATACAACTTAGGCTTGGTAAGCTCACTGAGACACATGTACTAGGGATATGCAAATAGAATTATCCCATATCATGTTCTACATGAATCAAGCTTGATAACATGATAGTCATGATGAAAGGGCAACCAAGTTCAATATTTTAAAGATGCTGCAAATATTAGCCAGCAAAAGGTTACGCAAACAAGCCAGGAATTATAAACAGAACTCCTCACTTACTAGTAACCATCTCTAAGACCCCCAAACTTCTCTTGCCCAGCAGTATCCCAGCAGTAAAAACGGAGTTTCCCACAGTTGGTGAAGAAATCCAATGGATGAACCTCCACACCAATGGTTGCTGTACAATGAAAATAATAAAACAAGTAAATGCCTACTACAATACCTAGTAGATGGTTCACAGCAAAACACACAAACATTTAATACAAAATTTACAAACACTTACGCTCATATTTCTTCTCAAATTCACCAGTCAGATGCCTCTTCACAAATGTTGTCTTTCCTGCACCATCCCAGATACAATTCAGCTTTGTTCAATAAGTTTCAGGGAGTGAAGCATACAATCTAAGTATAATCATTAAAGGAAAATTTTTTAATTTTCCCAAAAAAATTAAAATAAAATCCGACACATATATAATTCATCAGGCTGCGGTATGCAGCCAATTCACCCCTAGTTTTTCTTATATAAATCTAACTTTACACCATAGACGATCATTAGAAGAAAAAAAAATTCAATCCAACACCGATCATGTTTTCATTGATATCATCGACCCCAATCGTATCACACAGAGTGATAAAAAATGAGAATGCCAAATCTAATCCTCACCAATTAATGAAAACAAAATCCCTAAAATTTCAAATAATGAAAAAGGCACAAACCCTAACCTGCAAACCAAAACCACGAAATCTAAGCAGACATTACCTGTGCCACCATCACCAACGATCACGAGCTTAAAGCTCGGATAATCAACAGTCTGCTGATTCGGCAAAGCCTACACCACCACACCAAACAGAAAAAGAAAAAAAAAAAAAAATCAAGATCTACCACTATAAAACCCTGGCCAGGAAAATCCAAACGATGAACAGAAGATGACAGCAGAGAAAAAGAGATTCACCATCGAAGATCACGAGTTAGCGCCGGTGAGAAGCTGAGATTCTAGCTAGCGTTTGCAGAGAAATGGAGAAGAGTGATTGAGAAGGACGAGCGTGAAAGGGAGTTTATAAACGGTAGGGCTGACTATGAGGGAGGGATGGCTTTAAGTTGACGCAACCATCTCCACCGTTGGATCTGATTACTCCAGTTCCTTTTTCTTCATTCATCTCAATTTTTTACCGTCGGATCTTTTCTGGACGAGCCCACAATCCACATGACACCTGCCGCGCCGCACATAGTATTTTCCTTTTTTGGGAATTCCCTGTAATGCCTGTACATTCTTTTGTTTTTTGTTTTTTATTTTTTAAACATAGTGAAATTCGAGGGATTAGATATATTTTTTCAAGGCATAAATATGACATAAGGACTCAAACTTATACGAAATTCGCAATGTTGGACTCAAACTTTAATTATACTCAATTAAGGTC